AAAATAACTCGGTGATATTATGAAATCAGTCGATCACTTTATTATATACCTTACGAACAAATATGAACTTAAGTGATTATGTGAATCGATGAACGGAATTACTGATCAAAGTTAATAAAATTCGGTGAAGTTCACTAACTATACAACATTCATGAACTTCTCAGGATTATCCATGGTTAATTATATCATACTGAATAATGACTGATATACATATTTTTTTAATAGTTACTGATACATCTATCTGTCTAATAATTTATAACATTTCTGATAATCAAAGTTACCATATCTTTGCCAACTAATGCACTCATTATCAACAGTAAAATAATTGTGCCAATATTATACTTACTAAATAATTAGTGCAGTCTTTATATAAATCAACTCTAATAGGGGTGAATATTTTTTTTTAACTACGTTACTTTACTTGGACATAAACCTTCATCCAACTATGATCAAATTCTCTTCACTCTTTGTGTTTTATTTTATTTTTTTCTAAATAATGGTCATATATATTTATAAATGGTAAACCTATAATTGACTTTGTAAAGTTCATTTTCACTTTCTTTTTAAAAGAAAATAAAGCAGCTTTATTCTGTTTTGATTAGAATTTTGTTTACAATATGATCTCCAAACATTTGAATTCTAACACAAACCTCAGATCAGATATTGAAAACAAAAATGCAAATTATCTATCTATTTTGTTTACAGTATTACATTAAGAGCTTATGGATGTTCAAAGTTTAATAGAGTTACCGGTGTGACTATAATTTATGGACTACTTTTGAGCGACATTAAAGTGACCTTGAGAGTGTCCACCTAATATCTAGAACCAAATTAGAGTTGTAAACCAGTGTGATGAATTAGAATGATGATTTACAGTTGATGGTTAAAGTTAGGGATTAGATTTAAGGTTTTCATCACGAACTGACATCAGCTTTAATGCCAATACGCTATTTAGCCAAATGGATGAGTGAATTCTGTGCCAAATTCCAAGACCTGTCATCTTATACCTGATTGGTTCGGCCATAAATTATAGTCTTGCCGAGTTACCAGTCTTTACCAGATTTCCTAGAGTTCAGATGGGAAGACTTGATTTTGGAACCCAAGCGCGTCAGAAGTAGACCAAGATCTAACCATTGACAATGGGTAAATATCTGTCAGTCCACAATTAACTGTTGGAAACCTTGATTGTGACCCTGTAAATCAACCGGTCAGTTATGTGCAATGTAGAACCTGGTACTTAAGTATATTGACTGAAGTTGCTATACTACATTATTACCAATCGATTAGAGGTAGTAGCATCAGCGACGGTAAAATAGATCATACATAAAGAATACTATTAGAGAACAAATAATAGATTTGTATCTGAAAGGATGTCGAGAAATTTAGAGGACCGAGATCTAGAGAATCTTAAATAGTAGATTGATCATAGCTATTGTGACCTACTGTAATCCCTGTCTTCTAATGTGTCCAATCATTAGTTTGAATAATTATGTGGGTTCCAACCAGGTGGTTTGCATCTACCTGAATGACTCAAACCAACAGTCAGTGACTTCATGTATTGATCTTGGTTTGGTCACCCAAAGCTTTCTTCCAACCTACTTGTACTCCAGGAAACACCAAGTATCGAGTTGGCTGAACGTGCATAGCATACGTTCTAGCTACCTCAGTCGTTGAAGATTCACACTTTTATTGGACGATTTTCTATCTTTACCTACCAACTTACGTACCAACATACGAAAGCAATGGTTCAAAGAATCCTATGATTAAATACTAGTAATCTACAAATGTTTTCTTTTAAAGGCCTGTATCCCAGATACAAAATCAGGTAGAACAAATTTCCAGGCCTTTTACCCTTCCTTTGTTTGACATATGAACATCTTACCTATGTTGTAGGTGATGCGATTCGACAAAAGACAACGTTTCTCAAGAGTGATTAGAATGTTCCTCAAGGCACTCAGAAAACTGTAAATAGAATTATGTAATTTGTGTATCCTAAGTCAGTAAGTGGATCTCCTGGTAGGGAATCAATTCTATCAAGTACCACTTGATCATTCTATTACTGGTTTCCGTTCTCTTTAAACGCCGAGATGACTAATAGTGTCCTAGTAAAGAACCCTCAATTTTCGACGTAGCTTTTGATGGTAAATACTTTCAGAAAACCTCTGGATCAATAGAGTCAAATACTACCGTCGCATCAAAGAATAATATATTTATGAGGCGTTGGTTAGTATGCTTACGTTCTGTAAAAGGGTGAATATTTGATCGGTGGATTCACACCTTGATCTGGAACCATCCTGACTTTCCAAGACTTGCTGTTCACTACGCTTACTTAAGTGTTGGGTTATTTTATAGACGGCTATTTTAGACAATACTGATCAAAGCAATCGCTCTGTGGTTATCACAAGAGGATTTCTGTCCTTCCTTCTTAAGTAATACGATCAGCCGTCAATACAGATCTGTTAGATCAGACGCCATTACGTGCAAATTTTGCACTGATGACTATACGGTTTACTTGAGTCCGTATTTGAGTTGGCTTTGCTGGTCGCTACGATAGACAACGTTTCTATTTATGCCTAAAGTTAATGCTTTTCAGAAATAAGTAGTTGTCTGGATGCAGTTGCAGCAGACAACCTGCACGGTGTGTCCGTCAGCTGGAATACCAAAGGACCCATCAAAGTATCTTTCAATTTGGTTCAGCTTACCCAATCGGATACAAAAATCCCTTATCATGATTATAAAGTTTGGGCATTTTTAGACTTATGAAAGTCAGGAATATTTTTGTAAAATTGATCTTTTTTCTTTTTCCGAACTGCAATTGGTTGTAGCGCCGTCAGAGACTGAAAGAATATAATGGTGTTTATCTTTGTCGTAATGGGTTCATACGATACCGTTCAAATGGACAGCAGGCAAGCACATGTGCAGTTCAGAAGACCTCGTTTTGCTTTTGTATTAAATGAAATAGCTACACAATTTAGCAAAGTGACTGTATAGCCTAAGCGATAATTGCTTGAGGCCGGTTACACGTGATCTTTTCATGAGGATTTTTAATATGTTAGCTCTGTACTTTAAAAGGCATTACCTTCTAAGACAGAAATCTTTGAGACAAGATAAAGCGTTACATATTTGTAACCGATCTTCCCTAACCCCTACGTTCTATTGTGGAAGGAGGTGATCTCTGGATATTCTGGTTGTTACCATTATATTCCAGTACAATTTTCAGTATAACTTTCTTCAACTGAACCGTCTCGCGTAGTTGGCCGTAAGAGAAACGAGCGTTCCCGTTAATATTCTTCTGTTGGGTCATTACGATAGGTGAACTCGATCACCATACCGACGTGGGGATCTCCTGCAGGGACTTATTGTCATCAAAGTTGCCGCGAGACCCTAGCTTGATAACGTGTGAATTTGTGAATGTGTGCTACTGAAAAGTTGTGAATTTGGCCAAAACAGTCAGCAATAATTCTGTGGCAGTTTTCAGTCATGTTTTAAGTAAAATCAGTTAATGATAAAGTTGATTTCAAAATAATATCTTGGTTTCTAACTGTTAAAGGGACTGTCTTACTGTATGGACAGAAATTTGTACTGTTATTGTGAACTACTGGCTTGTACATCTAACATGCTAATTAATTGCACACAATAATTATAGCCATCTTATTCCAAACCATTTGGAACATGATTAATCTTCGAGTGACTAATACTGAACTAAAGCTCATTAAAATTGTATTTCTATGTCTCTCGAATGTTTCTAAATCAATTGTTCATTAATCGATAGTCTAGTGCGTGATGTGCTGTCTTTATTTGAACATAAACAATATTTGAAACACAAAATAAATCCATAAAAAATATACCGCTAGTATTTTAACATTTTATTCGATTAATAAACTGGCAAGTGAGTGCATATTTCATAAAACAAGCTTTACAATTATTCATATCAAAAGGGAATATTTCTAGATCGTTTCTTCTCACTGTGTTAATTACTGTTTATATTTGACCAGATATTATGGTTATGAATATAATTGCTAATGTTAGGACCGATTTGTCAATAATTTGTTTGTCAACGTGTTTAAATCAGGTTAACTGCTTCTGTGAAAGTACATACATAAGCCTTATTCATAACCCCTTCTTTTCTAAATTATGTTTCTTCGTGGTTATGAGAGGTTCACACCAGGTATCGAATAATTCTTTAAACGGTAAAAATACTCCTCCGTCATATTGTAAGTGCCATTGTGTACAACTAGAAGAATTCCTACTTATGAAGATAAAAGTTATGAGTATCCTTAATTTTCTAATAAGTTTTATTAACTGATCAACAGTTCGTTTTAATATTCAAACCACCCCATTCAACAACTATCATCGTAAAATCATAGTGACTGCTCAATAATATAGATTACTGAAATCTAAACAATGCAATGGACTGCGTTATACTTTATGTAACTTTCTAAACATTCCTACCGTGTAATTAAAGTATTCCTGTCGGATGTTACGTTGTAATCGAAACGAGCCATGAATATGAACCAAGTTGTAAAACCTGTAACGTTTATGTTACTTTCATGTAACCTTGTATTAATGAGACCGTGCATATATGTGTACAGTAAAGTTTAATTTTAATCTTAGAGATGTGTTTATTTATTCATTCGTAAAAGGTTATTCTTAATTTCAAGTGAAATCGTTTTAGTTGACCGCTGATGAATAGCACAACGTGTAAATACATTTGTAATTTTGTGCATTGTAAACGCTAAAATGAATAAATAAATCAAAAAGTTTATTTACTAAATCACTGTACATACTAGAAAGTGTTTTTATTCATTACAAACGATTTATTAACATGCCCGTAATTGTTTTTTTAAAAATTAAAGTGTTTTTGTTATTTGTCTATCGAATTCTAAACTTACTATTGTAAGAGGATATTGTAAATATTTATAGATGTATTCTATTATCTGTGGTACAAAGTATCTTGGAGTGTTTAACGTTGTCTATGTAATTATTTATTTGTTTTACAGGAAGATCCTCTTGAACCTGCACTTAGACTTATCCCCGGTTTTTTCGGAACAGTGGTTCTGGTCAATAGTTTTTCAATATTTTACGAAGGACCTTCATGTACGTTAGCTGTAAATTGTCATCGATATTTCCATTAAAACGACAGTTGTTGCGTTTGTTGTAATAGATATTTATTTAACTGTTGAAATTGTTTGATGATTTATCAGTGATAAAAATAATTATTGGTGTATTTCTCGGATATTTTTATAATGTGGATTGTTACTAAAATGAACTACAGAACTTATATGATGGTAGCTTTCTGGATATTTTGGTTAAATCTAACACGAAATTCATTTGACTGAGATAAGCTAACTAGTTTCTTTTTCAATGCTTTTATCCATTCCAATGAAGTTTCTGTATAGTGGATCGGTTTAGTGTTTATATAATTATTGATTTAGATGCACCAAATTCAACTATGTGACTGGTATAGTAAGAATAATAAATTAATCTAGAATCGCTCTGACAAGTATACTTTTCAGTTATCTGATAGTTTATAGTGTTGGCTGTGATGCAAGCGAAAATATTTTTAATGTTTCTTCGATATTTATATGAAAGTCAGCAAAGTATATATGTTGAATGGAGTATTATACCTATTAGTGTGCTTTAATTTTTGTCACAGTGTTGTCAACTCACCTTAGTAAATAATTAAAGTGAACATGAACGTTATTTGTTGATTGAAAGTATTCGCTATTGCAATTTGCAGAAAACCTATTGTTTATGACAGTCTTTGATTTAGTTAAGAAGACGATATTGTTTGGTTCTGAGACGCATTAAAGCGATAGTCAACATCTTTTACTGCTCCATTGTTTAGTAATAATACAGGTCATATTTATTTCATTATAAGATTGGGTTTTGACGTAAACATCATATCTGTTGCACCACAACTGTGTGTGACTCTAGACTCAGTAGTTCAGTGGATAACTCGTGCGGCGTTTGAAGCAGGTAGAAGTGGGTTTGAGTTGTCGAGTAAAAGACCAACACTGGGATTCGGTTACATTGAGCAATAGAGTTCTAAAGGGAAATAAACGCGCATCAGTGCCTTTGATAAGAAGATCATGGTTGTTATGCTCAAGGATATTTGTTTTACGGTGAGCTATCAATTAATTGAATTGGTTTGAGGAATGGAAAATCTCGCTAATAATGCCATAATTGTACAACCATTGAAAATTTTCTTTATACGTACTAAACTTTCTTATCAAATAACTGAATAATAGAATATTTACAATTAAATTATAACTTATTTATAGTTAAGTATAAAATGTTGCATATTATGAAGGAAAACATAATCTAATGTCATGAATAAACCGTCATCGGATTTTAGTCTACTGACGTATATTATTGTATGGTATTTCAAAGTCGATTGATCTTAATGTCATGTTTATCCACACAAACAAGTACTTGGATAAATAACAATAATATCGGCTATGTTCTTTTAAACTAAGTTTGTCAATTTTTTTATTGACAAAAGGTTTCTATTTACGTTTTCTCTTTATCTGTTTTCAAAGTTTAAAAAACAAATTATCACCGTATTTCACTTCCTTACTTTTGTTAATTCGGATTTTACCTACGTTGTGTTTGTTTTTTTCCCATTGAATTTGACAACGACTGTATTGGAATATTACAACTACGCTGTAAGTATTTAACAACATATATAAGCGAACAATATTGTTTTCGATCAGATACTTGCTTGGATGAGGATCTAATCGAAAACAATATTGTTCGCTTATATATTTTGTTCTAAATTTACAATATGGGAATTTTTGAAATTTTAAGTTGTAAGTGTTTATCCTCCGTGATATTGACCAGCGTATTAACATCGCGGCAATAAGTTACGAAAGAAGACATGGACGGAAGTCGGTTGATTCTTATTGTTTAACAAATAATTTGGAAACATTTTACTTTACTGAATTAAATAACCTGTATAATTTCATATAGAGGTTTAGTACATAAATTTAGGGTATTGCAGTTAGATTGTTCCCTTTTGTTTATCTCTTGGTTTATACGTCTAATCCTACTCAATTTTTGGATTGCTGTGTATGTTGGTATTTGATAAATATTCCAGATTATATTTCTACATAAGTTTGAATAATTTTATTTTATTTATTTATTTGAACACATAAATATTGGTACAGGGGGGCACCAAATATATATGCGCCACACAAGGCACCAAATATATATGCATCCATTACAATGTATACAATAAACATGATATAATCATTTTACTATTTCAATCAACTTTATTTAATATAAATATTGTATGTTTTTCATACTAATTGTATATTTCCGTCTAGATTACTATAATAACTGCTTTTCTCATATATAATAATTAAATTGTTGTTCAAAATATGTTGATATTTGAAATAATTATGGATGTAATTAATTACTTTATATTTTTGTGTATTTTTTCCAGTCTCCAATCTACTTACATTTGTATGAACAGTTGATTATCAACTAACTCGATCTAAACTACACATATACATGCTTGTTTCTCCTCTTTTGTAGTGCTGAAATTCGATAGAATACCTCTTTATGGAATATTTATAATTAGCTGTGGTTTAGGTATTATCACTGTCCTACTTGTGAAGTTTGTTTGGGTACCTTTGGTTCGTCGACATATTTTAAGTAAGTTGTTACCCTAGTAATCTGATGTATTCTATTGTGACTGTAAGATTTAGCTTACCGTAAATGGACAGAGAGTAAACTGTGTTGAATTATGCAATTATATATTCCAGTCACCAAATGTGATTCGCGTGTTTTGATTATAGTGAGATTGCGAATGCATACCACTGAAGATTCAAGGTTTATGCGAAGTTTCCCTCTATTAACTTCTGAGTTTTCGGCATCTGTATCAACGAGATAACTTAGTGTTAAGAGTTTTCTCCAGATGTTTCTTTTATTGATAACTGCTTAAGCGTTTTGATGCTCGTAAACAATAATCATTGATTTTCCTTGTTTAGCAATTTAACTAGCTAGACAGGACAGTTTATTTATAGTGTATATGACTTCACAATCACTAACGTCATAAGCGGATGAGCGGACGAATCAAAGAAAGCTGAATCTCATCTGACGTCCTCCATTTCAAATAAGTCATTGTTTGTTGTGACAAACAGATAGAGAATGGATTAAGTGACGAATACCACACTTTATTTATTGAGAAGCTAATAACCAGAATAAATATGAATTTATATCATCAAATGGGATTTTTTCAGAAAAGTAATTAAGCTTCTGTTTTCTTGACCAGTTAGTTTCGTCGAGAAAGTATAAATGTAACTCGTAACCACTTATATTGTGGGTTTATTGTTTTTCCTACTCAATTCCTCT